GTTAGTGATGTGTTTTTTTTTCTCTTTCTTAGGTGCTTTCTTAATTGCCTTAGGATATTTCATTATGTGGAGGATCCAAAAAAATATGAATAATTGTTATTCATATTTGCAGTATATTTGCTGTATTGTAATGATAAGCAACTGGTGTTTTACTTAGTTGTTGACAAATCATGATAAGCAATAGAAACAGCACATTAGATCTCATATTACAGAACTGTACAATGTAACTGAGACAAAAAAGACTAATGGCTATGTTTTCCTTCGTGCATCCATTTTATGAAGGAAGTATATGCATAAACAACGTGCAAAACTCACAGCAAATGAAATTTGTTCATATGTCCTGCTACTTGTAACAGTGCTCTAATCCTAAAATAGATTTACAGAAATTAACATGAAAAGCATTTTTAAATGGCTGGTTATGAGAAATGCATGCAAAATTACATTGGCTCAATGGAGAGGGAGAAAGGGATCAAAATATGAGTATTGAATAAGCAGCATTCTTCAGTTTAACTGAAAGATTTCAATTATTATCATATCACAAGTTAAAATAACAAATTTATACAGTAAAATAACTTAATACATTTTGACACTTAGCTGTGACCGCACCATGTGAATTCAATTTCATATCAATGATTAAGATACTTTTAAGGACGAAATATATCAACAAAACATTGGCGAAACAAAACAATGCTCATTCCTCTTCAAAGTTACAAGGATTTTTAAAAATGTATCCATTAACTATACCTTTCTGTGTTTGATGATTGAAAAAAAATTAATTAGTATATTAAAGATTATGATTTTAATAAATCTATTAGAAATATGATTGCCATACTAAAATAAAGCTAAGGCAGATATAAAGTCTGTGCAAAATCAAAATCTAAGTCAAAGCAAACTCCTAATTCATAAAAGACAACAATAAAGGATTTTTTTCAAACTGTTTAGGAAACTATTTCTTGATGGTACGGATAGTGTAATATAGGTTAGGTATACAAATACAGCAATAGAAATATCTGCTGAAATGTAAAATATTGATTTAAACTGTGATATTATGTAATTAACTTAACCTGCTCTGTCTATTAAAACTTTAAATTTATAAAAACAAACCTATTTATTTTATTCATTATTCATTTAGAATAGCAGCTAACCTCCTTATACTGAGTTCTTGATTGCTTTTTGTGATCAAATGGCAGTTTTGAACATCAAATCCTGTACATGCTGTATGACAAATACTATCAGTACAGTTTAGAAGATAATATTATAGAATGCTAGCAAAAGTGTAATCTGATCCCTTGCAAAAAATCTTTCAACATTAAAAGCTCTCAATTCTGGTTTGAAATCAAATTTTCGTGTGATTTTAAACAAGGAATGATGAAAAGTATTTTGTAAAAGATCACTTTTACTTGTTCATTATATTCCTATCTTAAGATATATATTGATGATGACATATACAATAGTTCAAATGGTAAATGTGTTTATTAAATGCAAACATAAAGACAATACACTGGTCATAATTCAGTGTGGTCAACCTTTTCATCTCCTTACCCATTAAAAACTAACATGAGATTGACACCGCTGCCCTATTTTGTTGCACGTTGAATTTCAAAAACTATGAAGGATTATTGATGTCAGCCATGTGACAAAGCAGCTGCTGTTCCTCACTGTGCTACAGGGAATTCTACTTCCTCAAGCTTGCTAACAGTATCTTCTGGCATTTGTATCACTCCGCTAGAGATTCCTAACTTCAGTGAAAGGGATGCAAGCAGTGTTGCTGTAGTTTTGGTCATTGGTGATCTTGATTATCCAGGCTTACATACAAAAAAGAACAAACATTAGAATTCAATGATCATGTGAGGGCTTACTAAAAATAGCCAGCAAGTGTGAAGCAGGTT